CAACAATAAACACAGAAATAAGGCAACGTATGTTACATATAGATAGAGAGGACAAACTGCAGCAAGCGTTGACTGAGCTGCGAGATGTCAGGGCCCGCGAGAGTAAGGGAGTGCTCGGCCTGTGAGATGGGAAGAGATGCTGGCTGTGGGAGCCCACCTTACACTTGTTTCCTCTCTCATAGAGGTTTTTCCGTGATCAAATACTGCAATGCGCAGCTCTGAATCTACCAGCAGCTTGAGCCACTGTAAGAGTGCTGTCAAATAGTCGCTCTTTTTTAAATATCCGCCATATCTAAAGAGCAGTTGCTTAGTAATCGGTCTCTAACAAGGAAGTCACAAAGCTGATTGAAATCCCCTTCACCTCACTAAGGCTCATCCAACTATTTAGATATTGTTCCATTCAAGTAACTAGTTGAACATACGACTCGTTGTCGTTCACTTTGCTTTCCCTAATTTCTTACAATAAGACTCAGCATCTAAGCAATAAGTTTTAAGCAAGGCATCCTTAACAGATTCCTAGTTAGAGATAATATTGTTAGGTAAATCAAGTTTTTAAGGCTTTACAAAATGTGCTCCGAAGTTAAGATGATAGTACTCCATCTCCCAATTCTGTAATTCTGCAATCTTCTCAAAACGTACAATGCAATCATGAATATCCTCTTTGCCCTCACAGAAGTTAGGTAATATTAAATCCGGATAAGCAGAGTGACCTGCATTAACTACGGAGCTAACTCATAGCTGACTCTACCTCACGCTGGCGTTTTTTCCTTGCTTCTGCCTCAAATTTCTTCAATTATCTTTCTCTCTGCCTTTCCTCTCCTCTTTGCTTCTCATCTCTCTCTACTTTTCCTTTATATCTCTCCTCACGAGCAACTAAAGTATTTGTCTGCTAGAGAAATTCCCGCATCTTGGGGGGTCTTTACAATACCTAGGATATTAAAAGTTTACCTCTTTTCTTAGTTTAAACAATATGATTCCTTTTCCATTTTTAAACTAAAAGAAACCATATGCCAGCGGACCACTATTAAACAAAGTTTAATATTTACTAATTAAATTAATAATTAGTGAAGCTGAAGTTAGTCAAGTCGTTAATACTATATATACATAGTATATATATACTTGCATATGGCAAAAATACGACGCCTTAAAATTAAGACAAGGTGACGTAACAAACGAGCTACGGCCAACGTGCCTTATCAGTTGTGAATTATAAGTTATTTCAAAGACTTCTCCCAACCATGTAATTAGACGCATACACAAAGTAATTAAACATGGAATTAATCGACGAAAACACGTCGTTTATACGAGTATGGATGGCAAGTGGGATTCGACAACTCAAACCTTCACAATTATGACACGAATGCAGGGAAATTACAGCCACACATTCATCACACATCCAACACCAAACTTAGACCACAAACAATAATCCTCGCATCTTCCTCTCAACACATCCGGTCACGTTTTCCGTCCTTCTCGTTACAAACTGGGGATGCACGAGAGTAATTAATGGCATCAACAATCAAACCTCGAGTATTGGCTAATAATATGGATTGTCCTACTCACCGCCATTTTTTCTAGGGTTTGTTTTTTTATGGTCTTTGTAACCCCCTTTTTTTTTTTTTTTTTTTTTATTATTATTATTATTATTATTGATCTCCGGATGATTAGCCACTGAAGGCAATTTGCATTGATAACCCAAATATATATTCTCAAATATTTACAATGTTATGCAAGTATATCGATAGTATGGTTCACAAGTTGTTACAAGGCGAGATCGTTACCCCGAAGTATGGGGTACCGGGATGTAGGAAGCCAAGATATATGTATGTAAATATATGAATACATATTTATATAATATATATGATTATATATATATTCATATATATAAATATATATACATATGTGTAAGTAAATACATAAACATATACATACATATATATATAAATATATATATATATATATATATATATATATATATATATATATACAATTTATATATGCATATGTTTGTGGGTTCATTTGTTTATATATATATATATATATATATATATATATATATATATATATATATATATATATATATATATATATTTATAAATATACATATATATGCATGTATGTACGTACATATGTATATATGTTTATATATATATATATACATATATATACATAAATATATTTTATATATAGATATATCTATCTACCTTTCTATCTATCTATATATATATTTATATCTCTATATATAAACACATCATATATACACATCTCTTTCTCTCTCTCTCTCAATATATATATATACATATATGTATGTATATGTATATATATATATATATATATATATATATATATATATATATATATATACATAAATATATAAATAAGTAAATATATATGTATAGGTAAACTCATATGGTTATATATATACATATATAAATAAACATATATATACATATATATGTGTGTGCGTGTGTGTGTGTGTGTGTACTCACATATGTGTATATATATATATGTATGTATGTATATTAATTGTTGCATGAAATCTGTTATGAGCATAAATGGGTAACATTACTATTATTTTACTCATTATTTTTATTATTTTACTAACGATTCTCTTAACAATGTCCTGAAAGGAAAAAAAAAATGTTATGGTTCAAATTAATAAATCAAAACTATTTAAGCCTAAATCATGCCTATAAGCACAAGATAACAGGGATTTTCCGATAATGAACCTATTATCAGTGATGTCGATAACCAGATTCTGTATAAAAAGGCCTAGGTGAGACGGTCGATCACCAGCAACATGAAGGTCCTCCTAGTGCTCGCTTTGGTGGCGGCGGCCGCTGCCTGGCCCAGCTTTGGCTTTCAGGGAGATGAGGGAGGTAAGTCTTTAAATTTTCTTTCAACGCATCACATATATGTTAGCGTTCACAGACACGTACAAACGCGTACATATATGTATATATGCACTCGTATATATACACACATATGTGTATATATACATATATATACATGCATATATGTATACACTTGATTGTTATTACACAACACACACGCATACGCATTACAGTCAGCCAACACACATATATGTGTATAGTATATGTATATTTATATAGAGTATATATATTTAAAATGTATATATTTATGAAATATATATATGTATATGTATATATATATCATATGTAAATATATATTCATTAAATTATGGATACTTTTAAGCATGTCTGTATACAGACATATAACTTTACCACCATAATCTGTGTCATTTCAACTGCTACTCTCTCCAGGTGTGTCTGATGCCCAGAAGCAAAACGATGTCAACTTCCTCTTGCACAAAATCTACGGAAACATTCGTGATGCTAACCTGAAATCCATCGCTGATTCGTTCGATCCCGAGGCTGATTTATCCCACTACAGTGACGATGGTGAAGCAGTTCACAAAATCATGAAAGACCTCAAGGATCACAGACTTCTCGAACAGAAGCACTGGTTCTCTCTCTTCAACCCAAGTCATCGCTATGATGCACTGCTACTCTTTGACGTTCTTATTAACTGCAAGGACTGGAACACATTTGTCAGCAATGCAGCCTACTTCCGTCAAATTATGAATGAAGGAGAGTTTGTCTATGCCTTGTATGTTGCGGTCATCCACTCACCTCTGGCTGAACACGTTGTACTTCCCCCACTCTATGAAGTCACACCCCATCTCTTCACCAACAGTGAAGTCATTGAAGCAGCTTATCGTGCCAAGCAAACGCAGACACCTGGTAAATTCAAGTCTACTTTCACAGGGACCAAGAAGAACCCTGAACAAAGAGTAGCCTATTTCGGAGAGGACATCGGAATGAACACTCACCACGTTACCTGGCATATGGAATTCCCATTCTGGTGGCAGGACAAATACGGTCATCACCTTGATCGCAAAGGAGAGAGTTTCTTCTGGGTACATCATCAGCTTACTGTCCGCTTCGATGCCGAACGTCTCTCCAATTACTTAGACCCTGTTGGCGAGCTCAATTGGGATAAGCCCATCGTTCAGGGCTTTGCACCTCACACCACATACAAGTACGGAGGTCAGTTTCCCTCTCGTCCAGATAACGTAAAGTTCGAGGATGTGGACGGTGTTGCCCGAATTCGAGACTTGCTCATCGTTGAAAGCCGAATCCGTGATGCCATTGCTCATGGTTACATTGTTGACAGAAGTGGTGAACGCATCGATATCATGAATGAAAGTGGCATCAACGTCCTTGGAGACATTATTGAATCATCTTTGTACAGTCCTAATATCCAATACTACGGAGCCTTGCACAACACTGCTCACATTGTACTTGGTCGTCAGGGAGATCCCCATGGAAAGTACGATTTACCCCCAGGCGTGCTGGAACACTTCGAAACTGCCACACGTGATCCCAGTTTCTTTAGGCTACACAAATATATGGATAACATCTTTAAGGAGCACAAGGACTCCCTTCCTCCTTATACTCAAGAAGAACTCACATTCGTAGGTGTAAGCGTTGAAAATTTGTCCGTAAATGGAGAGCTTGAGACCTACTTTGAAGACTTTGAATACAATCTCATTAATGCCGTTGACGATACGGAACAGATTGAAGATGTAGAGATTTCTACTTATGTGCCTCGACTCAATCACAAAGATTTCTCTTACAACATTGACATCAACAACAACAATGGTGATGAAGCACTGGCAACAGTCCGCATTTTCGCTTGGCCTCATCGCGATAACAATGGTATCGAGTATTCCTTCGATGAAGGTCGCTGGAATGCCATTGAATTAGATAAATTCTGGGTTAAGTGTAAGTATATCTAATTTAAGCAGCTATTTTTTATTTATAAAATATTATTAGATAAATTAAATTAATAAACTAATGCATTTATCCATGACCATTTGCAAATACTTGAAAATCATTCATACAGTATTCTTTCAACAGTGACACCAGGAACCAACCATATTGCCCGTAAGTCTTCTGAGTCTTCGGTTACCGTCCCTGATGTACCGAGTTTCCAGACTCTCTTCGATAAGACCAAGGAAGCTTTGGATGGTGGAGACTTCAGCCTTGAAAACTATGTGAGTGCCACTGGCATTCCCAACAGATTCCTACTTCCCAAGGGTAACAAACAAGGTCTTGAGTTCGACCTTGTCGTAGCAGTGACCGATGGTACGGCTGACGCAGCAGTGGATGGCCTTCACGAAAATACCGAATTCAATCACTATGGTTCCCATGGCAAGTACCCAGACAATCGCCCACACGGATACCCTCTGGATCGCAAGGTTCCCGACGAGCGTGTATTCGAAGATCTTCCCAACTTTAGTCATATCCAGGTTAAGATTTTCAACCATGGTGAATATATTCAACATTAATTGAATTACCGAAAGACGGTACCTTTATCTTACCTGTTTTCAAATAGACTGGAATTGGAAATGTAACCCTTTTCATCCTCAATAAAAATGTGAAACCAATGAAGTTGCTTACACCATGCTAAAATATGGAAACAACAATGCTATCTAAGTGACATTAATGACCATTATAGCAGTAGCATTAACAGTGTCTTATTGATAACAATTAAGATATTGAAACAAAAATAGGAAATTATACAATAAGTTATGCTGGAAATAAAAAGGTTTAGAGAATGCGTTTAAAGTGTAACAATACTGACAATAATAAGGACAGCGGTAGCACTAATAACAGTAGTAGCAATACCACCAGTATCTGAATATGGATAAAATACACTTCATACCAGTTCATCGGCGCCGATTAAATTCCTAAGTTCAGGATTGCTCGCTTACAATTTAAATACACAAAGATTTCCGGTGAAAGTACCAAATGAATACGTGATTTTTTCTTCTTTCATGAAACATCATGAAAGTATTATAGTAGAGGAAGAAACTACTCCATTTTATAATGAAAAATACAGGCAATTAATGTTCCACTGTAAAATGACCGTCGTATATCAATTTATCTCTCAATATATACAGATATGCATATGCTCACACTCACATGTATGTGTATATGTATATATATATATATATATATATATATATATATATATATATATATACATATATATATATACATATATATGTATATATACATATATATGTATATATACATATAAATGTATAAATAAACATATACATGTGTATATGTGTATGTGTGTATATATATACATACATATGTATATATATATATATATATATATATATATATATATATATATATATATATATACTCATATATGTATAGATATATATATGTATATACATATGTATATGCACATATACATATGACTCCCCTGCTCTACGGGAGCAGCGAACATATACACAGAACATATCGAGAGCATTAATTCAGAGAGAGTTGCACTATATCTTGTCACTGCAAGATCCGAGAGGCACTAAAACTATTCTGGATTTTTTTAGATTTTTTTAGTGCCCTTATATATATATATATATATATATATATATATATATATATATATATATATATATTAATATATATATTGATATATATATATATATATATATATATATACATTAATATATACATATATATATATTGATATATATATTAATATATATACACATTAATATATACAGGTATGTGTGTATGTATGCTTATATATATGCAAATGTGAGCGTGTGTAAATATATGTATACATATATACATACACATAAACATATATGTATACATATATACATATGTGTTTGTGTGCACTTACACCAAGATATATTCATATTTACACACAAATCCATATATATATATATATATATATATATATATATATATATATATATGCGTGTGTGTGTGTGAGTGTCTGTTTATAATACATATATGTGTGTGTGTGTGTGTGTGTGTGCACGATTTGTTACACAACCGGGAAACTAACTTCACTAGCATTCTTCAAAATTTAAAGTCAGATGAACATATTGTAAAAACAAAAAAATGATAAAGGAAAGGCATAGTTTTACTGAATAGAACTAATTATATTGACAAACTATCTTCCATACTTTCTATTTCATCTAAATATCAATTGTTAAATGTCTCCAGACTGCACATTCCAGTAATACCTCTTAGATCCAAAATTTTATCTGGCATTTTCAATTATAACCTGGTTAAATTTCTCATTCGAATCATTTAACCTTTAACGTGTAATAAATACATGATTTCCAACTCATCAAATTTCGCGAATGAAATCAGTCATTCAAGATTTTAGGACACCCTAACAATGGCTAGTTTATTGTCCAGTCTTTGTTTTCTAACGTACCTCTTGCAGAGACCACACAAATCATCACTAACAATACAACAGCTGAATCCCTTTCACAGCTGGTTTTAGAAAAAAACACTCAATTTTTCTTTTAAATACTGCCACAGAAGATTATTTTTACTTTTGACAACCGTTTATACATTCAGATCAATAGACTTACTGTGGGTTTTCCCATTGACCTTAACTATATTGATGATTTTTTGTTATCATATATGTGTGGAAAAAATGGCTACAAAACTGCCCATTGGAATTTAAACCCTTGTTTTACAAAAGATACATAGACGATACTTTTCTCTTGTTCAAACTTTCATCACATGTACAATTGCTTCTATCCTACCTTAATGACCAACATCATAACAATAAGTTTACTTGTGAAAATGAAAATGAAAACCAATTTACCTTTCCTAATACGCTTATCACTAAAGACAACGATCATCTGTGCACTACTGTATATATAAAACCTTCTTTCTCTAGTTTGGGAATGCATTATTTGAGCTATGCACCGCAGAAGTACAAGAAGAATACTATATCCTCCTTAATCATCAAAGTATATCAACATTTGCTCTACCTGGTCCCTTTTAATATGGAAAGGAAGTTCTCAAATTACTTTGAAACAAATGGATACTCAGGCAGTATGTTTCACAAAACACTTACATTATTCTTAAATAATAAGATTTGTCTGCTTGTAAAACTTATGCTAAGCAAACCAAATATATCAAATTACCGTACCTCGGACGATTAAGTTATTGCGTTCGAAAACAATTACTTGAGTTGCTCAAATATTTATTCCTCAAGTAAAATTCAATATAAGTTTAACGAATAACCACACTATCAGCAGCTTTCTAGAGAGAGACCCTTTTGCTTCGGACTTATATTAAACATTGTAGATGTCCTAGCTGTAATGCTAGGTATATTGGGTCAACGAGACGTTAGTTCAAGTGTCGTGATCTATAAGATTAACCTTCGATCCTTCGTACGAAATTATTACTGCCACCACCTGGTTAATTCGTCCAGGAACGTAAGTTTAGTGTTCGGAAAGAGAGAGGCATGTAGAAGAGTGTAAGTAAAGTTAAAGAAAGCAATTGTAAGTGTACAGAAGGTACCAAGGTTCGAGGGTCAACACTGCGGTTAGCGTGGTTCTGACGAGATGGAGTGCGTGTCGACCTAAAGCCGGCATTGTGTACAGACTTATGGTATTGAAGTTAATCATCAAATTACTTTAAGAATTAAAGTCCTTGGAACGCGAGGGGAGACATAATGGAATCTTGAAAACAGGAAATCAAGTTACAAAAGTTGATTAATATTGTAAAACACTATTTGAAAAAAAAAGTTAAAAATTGAGAATCCTCCACCAGTACCCAAAAATAAGCGGGAGTACTAAAAAAAAAAAAAAAAAAAAAAAAAAAAAAAAAAAAAAAAAAAAAAAAAAAAAAGTTGCTTTGGACATTAAAAAGGCAAAAAAAAGAGGGCGGTGTCTTCCACTCTTAATGAAACACTAATTTCCTTTAAAAGGCGGCTTAGTTTAAAAAGAATTTTAAAATAATGAAAGAGAATTATTAAAATTAAATGTAAAAACCAGATTATTATACGATGCCCATAAGGCAGAATGTGCTCTCCTATGCGGTTAGGTAAAAGAAAACGAGAATAAAATGCAATATCATTGTAATTAACACAATAAAATATATAGTCAACACAATAAAACATAACATCTTTCCCCAGAATGAAACAATGACGCCACAACCCCATAGCTATTTACGGTGTAGTCATTTGATCGTAACCAACTGTTTATAGTTTAGTATTTTAGATGTCTTTTCCTTTGTACATACTGCCCTTGTTTTTAGTTTATTTTTCTTTGTTTCGCTTATTTTGTTCGTTCTTTGTAATACTGAAGATGGTCATCTTTCAAACGTTTACTAAATAAAGATGTCTATAGCTGAAATGATGTATATATGTGTGTGTATATATGTGTGTGCGTGTGTGTGTGTGCATATAAATAAATGTATATTTATATTATATATATGTACATATATATGAATATATTTATATAGTTATGTATATGTATACATATAAATGTATATATACATATATTGATATATATATACACATAACATTTGTTTGTGTATATATGTATACTTATATATATTACTGTGTATATATATATACATACATATATATAGATACCAACACACGTACACACACACACACACACACACACATATATATATATATATATATATATATATATATATATATATATATATATATTTATATATGTATATTTGTATAGACATACATGCATACACACACATATATATATAAATATATATGCAAACATACATGTGTGTGTGTGTGTGTGCGTATGTATATACAAATATACATATATAAATGTAAATATATATATAGAGAGAGAAAGAGAGATAGATAGATAGACAGATAGATAGATAGATAGATAGATAGATATAGATATATATGTACGTATATATATATACATATATATATATTGATATATATACATTTATTGATATATAATTATATGTATATATTGATATATACATGCATAACATTTTTGTATGTACATATATATATACTGTATAAATACATATACATATACATATGGATACATACATATATATATATATGTATATATATATATATATATATATATATATATATATATATATATATATATATATATATACACATTTATATGTCTATATATATATATATATACACATAAAATTTTTGTATGCATATATATACTTATACATATTTTTATATTACTGTATAAATATATATACATATATACACACACACACGTATGTATATATATATATATATATATATATATATATATATATATATATATATATATATATATATATATATATATATATGCATACATATATACATACATGCATATATATATATATATATATATATATATATATATATATATATATATGTATATATATATATATATATATATATATTATGTGCATATATATATATATATTGTATATATTTCATATATATATAAACTTATACATATACATATACATATGAATTTATGCATATAAACTTATAAATTTCTGCATATACCTATCACTCTT